GAATTTGTATCGACCATGGAAAGCTGAAGTTATTTCTACCTTTTTGGAAGGGAATTTATCATGGAAGGTGAAAGGTGAAAAAATATTCGAATTTGAAATTGGAATTAACACTAGAACTACCAAAGGGGTCAAAATGACTGGTTTCCAGTTTCTTATTTTAAATTATAAATTTTATCGAGGTATTTTTATTGAAATGTATGTTGGCTGTTATCGAGTTAAAGAATGAAAATACAAGCTATATTAAATTATGTTTCATCCTTTATCTATTTAGTAATCTACATTATTTTCAACTTAAAAATAAGTGTGCATCAAACGTCGGTAGTTTTAATGTTAATTGGAAACCTGATCCTTGATGTATGAAGTGACGCTAAACGTAAGTAGGCGAAGTTGATAAGGATGTAAGATCGATGTCACCGTACAGATTGTCAGAACGATTCGAAAGGTATGTTCGATCCGAGGTAGGGAACAATGCCTAAGTGGTTGTTATCGCGTTTGAGCACAAGCAGCCAGGCGTTCCTGACCCATTTCCGGGAAGGTCCTGCGGGAGGCAATAATACCATCTCCTGTTCGAGCACGTACCACGGATACTCGGTGAATGGTTCACAAACGGTGCAATGAGAATTACATTGTGCATTATCGTAAACCCCTTGCGCTCGATTGTCTCGAAAACGTCTGTCGAGTAATTACTTGTTGATTGAAAGTGAAGATGTAGTACTATGTAACGTATGCAAAATAAAGGATATATTTTCAAGCAAATTTCTGTCTAAAAATCCTCTCTTTTATCCTAGTCCTTGTAGGAATATGTATTTACATAAATATGCATTGTTAAATAATTGCACCTCACGTTGCAGCTTTTTTCTCAGCATCAAATGTTTCTTTCAAAATATTAAAAAATTTTGTTGTTTGCTCGAATTTTATTCAAACGCGTGCAATTTGGCGTTTCGCGCGATATCTAGATAAATTGGTCCAACGCAATTTCGCACGGTTTAATTACTAATAAAACTAGAGCAATAATAATCATGGAATGATCGTCGCGCGATACCGTGATAACTGAAATTTCAATAGCTGATTCGGCACAGCCGGCATTAGATGCGTTATCGCTATCATCTGGGGATACTCGAAACGCGCGGAATATTAAATTTTAGTGCTTTCGAGCTCGCATCGGGAGCCACCGGCCGAAAGTCACTTTAGCCCGGCTTCGGTGTACTATGGAAACTGATAAAGGATTCGATTCGATTTCCTGCCGCGAGTTTTCATTTTTGAAAAAAGAAAAAAAAAAAGAAAGAATTGATACGAAGTATCTGAAAATACAGTTCGTTTTGTACCCTGTTAAAATGATCTTCAACTCGTTCGGATTTTTTTTCCGTTTCATTCGTTTTATGATTTTTATATCTATCTATCTGATAAAATGCAATCGTTTTTATTTTCGGATTCAGTCTCGTTCAAAAATCGTAGAAAGGATTGGAGGAGAGAAGGGAAGAAAGTTGCTGAAAGAGAAGCGTCCGCGCGAATTTATTCCTCGGGGGTAGCGTAATTCCGTGACCGGATACCCCGACTTCCGGTTACCCTTTGTACGAAAGGCATCGACGAATCGAGGAGAGCGACTGTGAAACACGACGGACCTACTCGTCCGCTTTTCAACGCTTTTGCAAGAGCTTTCCGCTTCATCAGGAGGAAGAATTTTTACGCTGCTAGACGGCAATTTTCAGCAACGGTCACGAAGAACATTTTTTTCCTTTCGAAGATCTGTTTGACGTGCGCTGGAAAAGAGGCCAGACCCGGGGAAATAATATTAAGTGGCTCGACGTGTTTTCCACCTCGACGAACGGAGCGAAGCGTAGGTACGCGTGTGTCATGAATTTTCCATTTTACCTTTTTTTTCATCGTTGAGGTCAGGGATGTTTCATTTAATTTTTGCAGAATTTTAATCTTAATACTAAATGAGCGGATACGTGGAACAAAATTGCAAAGTGTAGAGCAGAGTTGACACTCGGAGTGCAAAGGGTTGATTCTTTGAAAAAGTTTCTAATAGAATTTCTTGCAGCTTATAAACACAAAATCATAAATTCGTCAAACAGTTGGAAAAGAAACTGCATTTCATGTTCCTTTCAAAAGCGATACGTTTTTGCTTACTGAACGAACATACGCCTGCAAACTATTTACTTTGACAAAAATTTCTAAGAGAAATGAAATTCTTCACAGCTTATAAACGCACATCGTTTCATCGATTTATCAAAAGGATTGGTATTACTTTCGCAAGTAATATACTTTTCACTACCGAACGAATTGAATTTTTATTCAACCTTTAAAAAGGATTTTTTGTAGTTTTTTAATCAATCGTACTTCTATGATGGCTGTTTTCTCTAGTAATTTCGATTCGTCGAGGAGTACCATGTTTCAGGAAGATCGCGTTTGAAAATCAAGTTGAAAAGGGATATCAATTTTCAAGACACTATCAAGTGTTTAATTGCAATAAGTATACTGTTACATATGTTGGTATCATTAAATTTATTAGCACGGTGTATGCTGATCTCTTTTCACACCACATGCCACCATTAACACGGTTCAATCATTTGCCAATCCTTTCGTACGTTTGTATATTCATTTTCTTAGAAAAAATTTAATCACAACAAAGTTCTAAGTAATTTTCTTGAATCGATACGAAAGCTGACATTATTTACATTGATCGAAAGATGTATGTCGTATTCTTCCATAATCGATTATCGAAAGATACGAGTAAAGTGTCCCAGAATCAAATAAGCAAACTTATTAATCAAAACACTCGAGTACCAGTCAGTAAAGAGCGATAAAACCGTAATGTAAATTACACTTGTTATTTCAGATTTGTCATCCGATAATTCGATCGTTTGCAAAACTATTTCTGAAAATATAATTCCGAAAACGACGCCTTCGTCTCGAACGTTTTTCGAGGAATTGGGTAAACCAAGGCGATCCAAGATCATTCGAGTCGATGCGATCGGGTGAGCAACGTTACTTCGTGACTTTAAACTTTTCCTTCGATAACGAGGGCCACGGAGTTCCAAGGAATTTCATCGACATTCAATTGAACTCTCCTTTCAACCGTGAAAGGTGAAGGGTAACCTGAAACTATTTAATCGGCTGCGTTCGTTAAGTTTCAAGCACGTTGATTGATAATTGCCAACCGAGAACTTTTGTAACCTTAATAAAACGTTTACAAATAATGTTTCGGATTTCAAAGTTTCGCGGTAATAACTATAAGATCGAAGATTATTGTGTCATCATAATTTCTTCTTTCGAGTGGAAGATATATCAGATAAAGCCGTGGGCAGAGGAAAACGTTTGAAAGATTAGTGTAAGCTCGTTTAACTACACCGGTTGAACTTAATTACACGGTCGCAGCCTGAGTAATTTACATTCCTGACATGGCAATAAAACACTTTTTGTTGTTGCAGCATGCCTTGAACTTTCGATGATATGCTACACCGTGGTTAACTGCAAACTTCCAGGGAGAAGAACTTGAATTCTGCAGTGTCTCAGACACCTTCGAGGAGACATCCACCTGGTCGTTGACTTCTGCTAGAGTATAGACTGTAATTAGAGATGCCAAACATCGTAGACGTGTCTCTTGCATAATTTGTTGGGTCGTTAACGTTAGACTCTAGCATAGGATAATTAGAATCAACAAAACAGTAATTTTTGATTTAACACTGCTACTGGAAGTTACATTACGATACTTTTTTTTTATTGAAATTGTTTCGAATTGCTGAGTGCACGTGTATCGAACTTGATCCTATCCCTGAACAACGCCTATTACCGGGTACATGTGCTTGCTTTGTTCAGCGTGGCTGTCGAGCACAAGGCAACGAATGTCGATGCGAGTGTCGCGGATGAGGAGCAGCTTCGAGGAGAAAGCAGGAGGCGAGGGTGGGCTCGGGACACAATAAACCATTCTACGGAAGGCAAAACACAAGCCCCGGCGCCGCTATAACCGAAGCCCAACGTGCTGCTTCATTATGCGGTGCGAGGTGGCAAAGTGCCAAGGCCTTTGATAAAGGGGGTGGCTACGTCCCACCAGATTCTCGATCCGTTCCAACCCCACTGCCTTTTCCGCCCTTTCGTCGTAACACCAACGGTTCCTGTCCACCCTCTCACCTATACCACACCCACACCATCGAGCTGTGATTTGAAGGGTGAGAAAAAAACCTTCCTATCTATTTGCTCTCGATTGGTTTTTCAATGGGAAAATAAAAAATTGATAGATATTAGTTTGAGACAAAAGAAAATACATCGTATTATCTTCGTTCGTATAAAAATCAAGGATGAATTCTATTATTATTGTCGATATTTGTAAATAAATATAATTCATTTATCTAAGGTTATCTAAGGATTAATGTAATTCCTGCTAAGTTTATCACTCCAGAAAATTAATTTGTGATACGCTTTAAAAATGACTTCTCCTTTCTTATGAATTTCGTGCTATAAATAGAACAAATAATTAAGCGTATCATTCGATAAGAGCATGCCTGTGTAATTGAAAAATTTGCGTTTCAAGAACGAATGTTAATGAAAGTACTCGCATTGAATGAAGTAAGGAAGCTACTTAACCAATTGACTTGCCAATGTGAGTTAATAGTGGGCAAGATATTACTATCGCCACTGATAGCTCAGATTTTGTCGTAAGGAAATTTTTTGTAATTGTTTACCAATTGATAATTTTGCAAGATAAAAATATGAGGATATACAATTTTTAAACGCTCAATTTAAAATATACACTTGACCCCCATTTACTTTAGATGAAAAGTTGAAATGCCTTTATATTCTGGACAGAGACGTATGTAGTTATTCTGCACGGCGCGTAAATCTCAAGTTTCAATCTCTGTATTCAATTATTCATGTTACTCATTTGCTGGTGTGTCTATAAAACTGTCATTGTTCCGAAGTGCAAGTTCTCCGTGAAATATTGATGAATCAAATACGACTATATAAGTCATACATGAAGGAGATGTTGACCAGTTTCTGTTCCGCAGCGGTCCAGTATGAATTTCTTAACCTAGTGTTTCGATTATTCTTTTCAAATGAGTAGTGTAATTTAGAATTTGTTTTCCTTCAATTTCTAATCATTAGATTAAATTAACTGTGATTATTGGACTTAATTGATTTTCATCTGCACCGAGTGGAGCACCGACGCGACGATAGCTTGGTGATTAATCATTAGGATTTTTCGTTTTATTACAATTGTCAGAAGAGAGCTCGCGTTATGATGGTGTGTTATTATCTGACACGTACGATGTAGAATGCAACTCGCGATAAATTCTGAATAAAACTGGAAATAAATAATCGAGAATGGAAGAAGGAAAAAAATATATGGAGTAAAGATATTCGGTGTAAAGATCTATGGGTAAAAAATGAAAAAAGAAGCGATTGCAAAGCCGAACTATTCTCTGCGGAAAAATATATGTATAGGGAAAAAAAGAAGAAATGATGTAATCGAGGCGTTTTTAAGTTAAAATTCTATTTTTTTAAAGATTTTAGAAGTGTTAAAAAAATGTACTAATCAATTAAATCGTCTCGTTACGTTCACACGATATCACCTGTACGTTGCTTTAATACTTAACAAAGATTCTCATTAACTTGCAGCTCATTTAGTATTCATTCCGCGACTTGAAATTCATTGCCTTTTTATTAAACAGATACCAGCGACGCATATTGCGTTGCGTATAAATTAAATGACCATGTATTACACAGATTCGACGGCCCACATAAACGTATTTACACCACGATAAGGGCAATTTTCACTGCAAACCGTGTGCGCGCTAATCGGCAAATAAAGCCGGGCTTAAAGCTATCTTCAAGTTCGATCGTTAGTCCAAGTAGCCCGTTAATACCTTCAAATCTCGTAATTTTAATGCTTGCAATCAAAGTGCTTGAAATTGTCTGTTTTTTAAAAAGAAATTGAAATGTTGATTGATTCAATGGTAGAGTCTATATTTTTATCATTTATCGAGTCACACGTTGACTTTACGAGGAATCACCGGCAACTGACACTATGGATATAATATAATAGAGTAACTAATAAAAAAACTATCTATTTTCATTTGTTTATCACGAAGCAACGACATAGATAGAAACAGTACCACTAGGTATGCTTTTTATCTGACCCTTTTGTTATCATTTGAAACTTAAACTCGACAATTTCTTAATAGTGATTGTCAACACGATTATTCAGATATTATTATTAAATTGTTATCTCAATCAAGTAAACACGCCACTAATTGTATTGTTAATTATTTACTGCTATAGTAACAGAAAATTCAGCGTAAGATATATCTCCCTGTTTTTTATCGATAACCCTGCTGGGTTATCGTTGCAAATACTTAAATCGCGTTATTGGAAATATTCATAAAGAATTTTCGTCCTTATTTTCAAGTTGATGAGAGTTCAGTATGTTGGTGGTAGCCAATCAACGGCACCCTATTTACCGAACTTCCCCCGATGTTGACTGGTAACGCGACGAAGAAGAAGTGGAAAGTTTTTTATTGCATTATCTCGCGAGAAAGAGCCGAATTACCTCAGACAATGAGCGAAGTGAGAAGCTTGGTTGCCGCGGCAACATTTCTTAATCATATTTCAATTAAGGAGGCCGAAAGTATGGCGTCGGTGTACAGAATCCGGTAACGTAAGCTTTAAGGCTGAAATTTTCACGTAAAATGGCAAGACATTCTGGAGAATGTGGCAACCAATTCGTTAATTACAATCGCCTAAAACCTTCTTTGTTAGATGAAGATGCGGAGGTAGGGTCAATTTACACTTGATTTAATTTTCAACACTAAAATTATACTGAAAAGAAAATTCTTTTTACCTACCGAAAACATCTGTTTCGATTACGCGACACATTTTTACATCCTCCTGTCGTCTTCGAATCGCTGTTGTTCTGCATAATGGAATTATGTTCGTCCTGATTCCCATAGATGCGACTGTCGCTCGTATAATGTCGCCTATCCATCAGAGAAAATACCCCTTGATCCACTTTCTTCGCAAACAGTCGTAAAACTGTGTCTTCTGGAACGATACGGTGGTCGTGCAACATGTTTCGTCTCAGGATATCGAGAAACAAAACGTAGAGGAGGCATGAAACTTTTCACGTTTCTCTTTTCCGCTCATATAGCTTTGAAGTAAAATATTCTTGCGGGGATCACCTATCACCTATCGTGGCGTAAGACAGATCCTCTCGTAGAAATTCAACATCGTCTCACGATCCTGGAAGGAGAAATCTGTTAAACACGTTCTGTGTTCCTATTAACTGCATAGTTGTCGTTGCAGTAATTCGAGTTGTAAAATTCAATGCGGGTCATCAAAACCGTAAGAAATTGATTAAGTTATCTCGCATCTGACAGAAAATTCATAGTAATTATTTTCGCGAACAATGCAAATCTGTGCGAGTGAATGGAAAAGTTGTGATCGGATGCGTAATGTAATGAAAAATATTCAATCGGACGATAAGAATACGATCCGATAAATAATATCGTCAGATATTGATAATACTGAGTGGTTAATTACTTAAAATTATAGATAAGCTCGTCTGGTACGAAAGAGACACAAACAATTTGTATGTACACTGTATTATCAAGAATACTCGATAACATGTAAGCATGAAATATATAAATGACCCGAATGATAACTTGGTCCATTTGTGTTTCCTAAATAGAAACATGTTCAGCATGCTGCCTCTGGGATCCAGTATTTTTCTTTGCCTCGTGATGTAAGTTACTCGAATTGCTTTCTGTTCAAACACTGTGTCTCTTAAGTAATTAAAATTCCACTCAATATTTGTTTAATCATTATTATCTCGTATCTTTCTAAAGTGAAATAAATTCTCTGTTAAAATTCACAGCTTCGGCATACGATGGTGACATTTTAAAAATAGAGTTATCCCTTCGAACATCAAGTTCCAATAAGGTTGTCTTTTCTAGCTCTGCGAGTGGCAAATTGGTGGAGCAGAATGAGAAATATCTACAGTTCCCCCCAAACTTTCTCCTGGGAGCTGCGACAGCGGCATATCAAATAGAAGGAGCTTGGAACGTGAGCGGTAGGTTCCTCAAATTCAAATTTTCACCCTCGGACCGACATTTCTAACATTTTGTTCCTCGCTAACGCAGACAAAGGTGAAAGCGTTTGGGATCGATTCAGCCACGAGAGGGGTAACCATGTTTACCATAACGAAACGGGGGATGTTGCTGCGAACTCTTATTACAAGTACAAGGAGGATGTAGCCATTTTGAAGAACCTTGGGGTAAATATAACTTTCTGCTTGAAAGAAAATTTTTATTTTTATCCAAAATGAAATAAAACCATTCGCATCTTTGTTTTCCAACAGTTCAAGTCCTACCGTTTATCCTTGAGCTGGCCGAGGATCCTACCGACAGGATACCCAAACAAGATCAGCAGAGATGGCATCCAGTATTATCACAAAGTCATCGACGATTTGTTGGCGAACGATATCGAGCCTATGGTCACGCTCTACCACTGGGACCATCCCCAAATTCTCGAAGATGCAGGCGGTTGGACGAATTCAGAGATGGTCGAGTGGTTCGCCGATTACGCCAGGGTCGTCTTCAAGGAGTTCGCACCAAAGATAAAGCGATTCATCCCGGTGAACGAGCCGCAGGAAATCTGCAGAAATGGCTACTTATACGGGAACCACGCGCCCGGAAAAAGACTTCATGGTATCGGCGAGTACCTGTGTCTCCACAACGTTCTAAAAGCACACGCTAGAACCTACAGGATCTACGAGAAAGAATTCAAAGAACAATACAAAGGCGAAGTTGGTATATTAAACAACGTGTTTGGTTATTTCCCGAAAACACCAAAGGACGAGGCGGCAGCTGAGATCGCATTCCAATTCAATGGCGGATGGGTATTGAACCCGATTTACAACGGTGACTATCCAGCTGTAATGAAAGAATTCGTCGCTAAACGCAGTCTCGAACAAGGCTTCACCAGATCCCGTCTTCCAGAATTTGGTGCTGAATGGATCCAATATATAAGGTATTTCATAATGTTCCGTCTCGTAGAAATTTTTGATGCTGATAACTTGACTCAATTGCCACTTATAAAACATGATCCGATGCTTTCATCGTAGCAATTGATGTAATCTAGAGCGACGAATTGAGTATCGTTGTTGTTATAACAGGGGAACAGCTGATTTCCTGGCTTTAAATCACTACACATCAAGAGTAGTTGAAAATGGTACCTATGGAGAGGTACCGTCTCAAGACAACGATCAAATGGTGCTTGTAAGCATGGACGAATCTTGGAAATCATCAGCCTCTAAATGGTTGAAAGTGAGTACATTTTCGAACAATAAATGCAATAGCCTCAAAATAGAAGAGGGAAGCTTGAGGTGATAGTTTTCATGATTATCTTGGTATTGTAGGTTGTACCTGAAGGATTTCGACTCTGTCTCCGTAAATTGGCAGAGCACTATGGAAATCCACCCATATATATCACTGAGAGCGGTTTCTCCGATCGTGGAACTCTAAACGACGACGATAGAATCGATTACTATCGCGAGTACTTAAAACAGATGCTTCTCGCTCACTATGTCGACGGTGTCAACGTGCGTGGATACCTGCTGTGGTCGCTTCTTGATAATTTCGAATGGGACAAAGGATACAAGTACGTGTTTACGAAATTAATGACATTCTTTCAGCCGTGTGTACGTAACGTGAGATTGCTCCATCAGATGTTCATTATCATTTACGTAATAGTATATTTTTTACTTCTTCGTAATTCAGCAAGATTTTACGAAACGTTTGATATTTCGAAAATTCAAATGTTGTTAAACAGTTGCGTAAACAGAAATAATCTATAAACTCGGACCTTTGAAGAATCTCATTCTTTCCATGTTCACAAATAGAAAAATGAAGATCAAAGAACCGTGGTTTATTTTAAAGAAATTATCATTCATTCGCGTATTATTGTGAATTAATCATTGCGTGGTAAATATAAATGTATCAATTTGCAGTGAACGTTTTGGCATCGTATCCATTGACTTCAACGATCCGAATAGGCCACGAACTTTGAAGAAATCCGCTACTTGGTGGCAGAAGATTATCAGTGACAGAAAACTTGACCAATAATCGTAATCGTCGTGCTCTGAATGATCTTACATAAGAGTATGATTGATCATGGCAATTTGTTCTTCGTTTCCCGTTATGTACACAACTTTTGTTTACAAATTTAAAAAAAATCAATATCCTTATATTTGTATTGCAATAAATTGCGAACATGAGTCACGATTTTAAAGGAGGAGAGTTGATTCGACGTGCGTTTGTCCGTGCCGATTGGAAAATCGAATTGGCGGAGGGGGAGATAAGGCGTCAGGTACGAAGGGATAGAGATAAGGGTTCGAGTTGTAAATGTTCCAGTTCCTATCTCGTTTTTACAGCTTCCTATTCAACTAGGCAGCAAAAAAAGCAGGATGGAAAATAGAGGATCTCAAATTGGCAAGCGGAATATCCTGCAATTATCTGGTAACGTCGTGCGTGTAACGTCTAGGGACCGGCTCGTAAACGTACGAAACAATCGAATACAGACACGCGTTCGATCAATTGCCTGTTCCCATGGACGACACGATGATTTATAGGGATGATACGTTTGATGCCGTATTCGGGATCGATGGTATACTCGTGTTGCCATTATAACCGAGAAACGTTGAATTCCATGCAAATTAGGAACGATTCAGGACGCGGCTAGGTCTCGTTGAGAATTGACTCGAAAACGATACAATTGAACTCGAAACACCTATCTATTCGTGTCTCGTAGACTAATGATATTTTATCGGACCAAAAAGTGTTGTTATCCATTTTCTATTCTCGCTTCGTATCGTTGACTCGTGTGAACGGAAGTAATTGGTAACAGCGTGACGTCCGAAATGGTGCAGAATAAAAGCAGCAGCGAGCCTAAGGACAGACTCGCAAATCCTGAAGAATCCTCGTTCTCCAGTGCAAATATTACGGGCGTATAATATATGCAGAGAGCCTGGAAATCCGTGCTTTGGAATCCCATGCGAGGGATTAGCCATCAACCGTTCGGAGAGCTAAGTAAATTCGGGGGACAACGGTCTGGAGAAATGCTGGTATATCCAGTTAATTTTATTACAGGAGGAGACGAAGGAGCAAGTAAATGTTTTAGATGACGTAGAGATAGAAGAATAGTCTGACCAAATACGATAGAACTTGATCTATTTCTGGTACGGTTGGTTTTCTATTTTGTTTGATTACGTTGCACTGAAAATAGATAATTTAGTTATTTCTACATTCGGTAGTGTGTTTCCTAGGTGTAATATTAGTATTTGCACTCTGTTATCAAAATAGTTACGAAGCTTAAGCAGAGCGCCCGTTATCTAGATAGAAATTCTTATCAGCAAAACATCGCGAATCTTCGTGCAAACAGATATCCAAGTCAGTAGATTTACTCCCGATTATAGAGAACTGTATAATTTAACAGCTTATTTATCTTTTCATTCACGTTTCCTCGCACGTGTTCATGAAACTTCAGCATTGCTATCACTCTTTAATCCATTAGATTAACTTAGCTTAAAGTAACTACCAGAATCTCAAATCGAGGAAGCACTTTATATATACGAAACAGTCCACTCCGTAATTGTCGACAATTCGACGAGCAGCGGAAGAAATAGAAAATGGCTCTTCGTTCAGTCGCGAAGCACTGGGTAAAATACGCGGAGAGAATTGAAAATTCTCGAGATGTCGGGAGATCTAATTGCGAAAGTTCACAGCGACGACACGAGATACAATAATTGGCGGAAGATCCAATGAAACAATGGCGAGATGCAGCTTTGCACCTTCTCCTTCTCCGTTTCGTTTTCTTTCAGTTCCACTTCTTTTGTCCCCGGTCACTCGAGTCGCGTTCCTGACAAACGGCTTTCTGTCCGTTATATCGTGATTCTCGAAGGCGTTTGCCTTTGCCAGATCGTCGAAGGAGCTTGAAAAGTGTCCTGGACGAGCGAGGGACGTGTTATCAAGTGTAGAAACAAAGAGGCTTCCTTGTAGCGCCGGTTCACTGGACAGAAAGCATTCGATAAAAGAAGAAAATATCGCCGTCTCCTTATCGTTTTCTGATAATCTCCTCGCTAGTGTGAAGAGACTTTTCGATTCTGTTCGATTGCAGCGCTGTAGGATCTTTCAGAAATTAAAATCGAGACAGTCCAATACAATGATAGTCGAAAATTATATGTACCTATCTTAGTTTACGATTAAAATGGAGTAAACTTAACATTATTTAGGGGGTGATCTGATATACCACGATCACAACGTCAAGAAATGTCTGCAGTCTCTTCCAGAATGGTCCCCACGTTCGCCTTCATTTCCCATGTGAATTCGTGAGAGGGTAACACGAACCCTCCAAGCGCGTGATCCTTGACGGAGGGTAATGCTAACGAGCTTAGTCCTGCGGTCACGTATAACGTTAGAGTCTCTGTCAGTTCTTAAACTACACGCGATGTTCGAGGATTACCACGTAAGGGGATTATTAATTGCATGTAGACATTTCAAGAGACGAATTTAGGGCATACGTTTAAATGAAATTGGGAAAATAAAAAAGGTGATATTTAGGGATTTCTTCATTCTGTAAATTGTGGTGTAACTGGGAAAATAATCACGTTTGTAAAAGCGGTCGTATTGTAAAAGCGAGCGATGGGATTTATGGCCGAGGTGACATTGGACATTTACATTAATGTAAACGTTAGAAGTATTCAAATTATTGATATCAATGACACACGTCAAGAATGTTATCGCTCAGCAATAATGTATGCAGTTTAATTGTTACATAGTTGGAATATTTTATAATACTGACCACTGCTGTAATTGTCGCTGCAGTTTCGATTCGTGTCGTTAACAGATACATGGCTCCCTTTATAATTTATGATTTATAATTTATAATTAATCGTAAATGAAAATAGGAAGAGTTTAAATCAGTTAGATCAAATAAATTGGTACTATTTTTATCGTTCTTTTAAAGAGTTGTCCATTTCTTAATTGCATCGAATGAGGGTTTAATAATTTCCAATCGACTAGATACGCTTTGAAGTTGTTGAATCGAGGAGGATATTAAAAATAGAAGTGAGGCATAATAATAAGACGTTTTACCGGAAATTTATCGAAGAATTTCCTTGAGGAACGTTAAATCGTTCATAACTAGCAGAACCTTTCCGTCAATCGTTCGATTTTAGCGATAAATGAAGTTGAAACTCTTGAAGGAGCGCAATCGAGAGACATTACTCTCGGGAAATGTCCTTCGAACAGTTTAAATCGCAAGTTGTGGCTGGCTAATAAAAGCTCAGTGGAAAACAGAATGAAACGGAACAACTTTCTGCAAAATGTCACTATTGTTTCTATTCGAATGGATTTAATCGTAAAACGACATCGAACATCATCGATCTAAATTTCAGAGATATTAAATTTTATTGCTGCATCGGGACTGATTTGTACAATTAAACGATTGAAATGAATTTTCCATTTTATTTGTCACCGTTTGGTTTTTAGGATTCATAATTGTTCCAATGCCGTTAATTTAAAAACCGAGAAGCAATTATTTTAGTGATATCACGTTGAATAATTACTCGTGAAAACCCGGCAAATGAAAAAAAATTCGTTATCACATAATTACCTACCTACACACCTTCGCAATGACGAACGAACGTGCAACGCTTCTGAGAATCTAACATTAATTACGCTGCTATTAAAATAAAAATATTTCAATGCGACTTTCTTCGTACACAATACGACTAAGAGAAATAGAGTAGAGAATGATGTGAACACGAGACACCAGCCGTTAAACTGTTAATTAAACTTACAGTAGGCTTGATTAACTTTTGGTTTCTCGATCGATGAAATTTATCTTGTGACACACCTAATCCTATTTAATTACTAACTTATCTTTTGCTTCTGCACCGCAGAGCTCAAAAATCGTATGTAAAGGTGCACTGCAAGTGTAGCAACAATGTTCACCAATTTCAATGCGATCACAAATACAACGATCGTTAAAAACATCACTATGTCTATGTCGTAACGCTGGTACCAAGGCTGTCCGGCTAAAGTTGAACGAAGATGAGGTGCACCCTTGTGTCGAATCACATATTCTGTCCACCAAACGAGATTATCCGTTAAATCGTATGGATTATCCCTAACGAGATCCCGAAGGTGAAGCATTCTCTCCTTGTACCTGGAACAATGATTATAATTTTTGTTTGTCATTTCGACTTGACCTTACGAATATAAAATTTCATGATATCTACTTTCGCTGATTATTGCATTGCCATAGTGTCCTTACATTTAAAAATAAGTTTCAATTGAATGCAAATATATTCTGAAATTTTACGTATACTCACTCTTTATTAGTGATAATCTCCCTAATTGCGCTGTCCAGTTCTTCCCTCGTGACTGTTAGAATTTCCAAACGTTTTCCAACGCGAAGAGTATCTATCCTGGCTACTTGATAATCTTGATCAGCAAGAATCGGGAAGCCCAATAGTGGGACAGCAAAATTCACAGCTTCTTCCGTACTTTGTAATCCACCCTGGTATATGAACAGCTTGATGTTCGGATGAGCTGCGAACACAATGAAAGACGATTAGTGGCAATAAAACGGAAGAATCCTGTTTACGGTACGAGCGTTCGTGGAAGATAAATGTCGCTTTACCGAGAATACTTTGTTGAGGTAACCACTTCGAGGCGTATACGTTGTCGAGTTTCACCGGTAAGTCGTTCTCGTACTTCCACACGACTTTGTACGGCAATTTCGCGAACACGTCGAAGAAAACCTGTTGAACCGCCATCGGTATGTCCGCACTTCTCGCGTTGCTACCGAGACTGAAGTAGATGAATCCTTCTTTCGCTTCGGCTAAGAAACGCTGCAGGTCCTGCGATAATATTATCGAATTAAGCTAACGTCATCTCAATTTAACGAGTCTTATAATTTGCACCGTTCAAGGTGGAAAGTACCTTCGGCAGAGGGGCAGGATTTTCATTGACGTGGAAAGAAGTGAAGGTGATCATGTTCGGTAACCTCGGACGAGCTGGCGTCAAAGCATCCGCCTGATTGACGAATATAAGGCTAGTATTTCTCGCAATGTCAGTCAGCGGAGGTAGACGCATACCGAGGTAATGTTCGGCCATCTCTTGATGGCGAGGAATGAGGTCACGGTATATCGAGTATGTTATTCGCCACAAGGATACGTAATTCCACAACCTCCTCCAAAATGATAAGTTCGAACCGGTGTTCGCTTC